CCACCCCGGGGACACCCCAACACCAACCCATACCCGTATGCACTGCACACCTGCCACCCACCACCTCTGTACCAGCCCCCTGCTTAACACACCTCGCATGTCCACCACCCTCCTGCATCCCAGGCTCCCTCCATACCTTCCCATGGCAGGAGCTGGGCAGTGCTCGGAGCTGCCAGAGCCTTTCTCCATCATCCTCCCTTTTCCAACCCTGTGACCATGATATTTACCCTTCCAACATTATGCGACCCTCCTGTGGTCCAGGAAGCACTTTGCCAGTGACTTGGAAAAGCCTGGATATAATTAAGCCTTTGGTTTTAAAGTCCCCCATTGGGCTCTCCCAGGCAGAGATCCCATGCATCCTGCTGAGCTGGAGGACATGGAACAAGGAGGAGCCGCTGCTCCGGTGAGTTTGGAGGAACTGAGCCATTGCAGACCCAATGTTCGGAGCAGGGAGTGCTTTCCTCCTGCCAAATGCAGTGCAGGAAATAGAGTCCCCGGCTCCTAATTAAGCTGTTCCTCAAATTAGGAAAGTCCTGATTAGCTTGTGCTTTTTTTTTTTTTTTTTCCTTCCATAAACATAGCCCCTTGGGTTGTTGTTTAGCCATGGAGTGATAGGTATGGCTTATAACAAGTGCAAAACCTGGACAATGTGCTTTACAGGAACAGGGAACAGCAGATACCCTGAAAAGGGATTTGTGGTGAACCAGAACTCTTTCAATTGGGAAAAAAAATTGTTCAAAGTTTCATCTTGAAAAAAAAAAAAAAAAAAAAAAACCAATGAAGCAACAACATCCTAGGGCAAATATGTCTCAGACCTTTCTTGGGGCCTGAGTCACAAAGTCACAACTTGGGCCTCACAGACCCTGGACCAAGGGCAGAAGATGCTGCAGGAAGATGCAATAGTGTTTTAGAGATGAAACAACTAGGGCTCAGTATGGGTTTATATGGAAGCAAGGCATCTTTTTGTTTGTTTATTTTATTTTTGGTCCTTTTCTAATACTGTTTTAATTGCTTTCTGGATCATGCCAAATACTGAGTTATCTCAGCTCCTTCATGTCTTCAGAGATCGACACTCTGGGTGCAAAGTGAGGCTTATCCCCCTCTCCCACGCACACCTTGCAAAACCAACCCTATATTTCAGTAAAGAAACTAGATTTCACCTGTCCGGCCGGGCATCGTGGTGGGATAACCCGGTTGCAGCACCCAGGCCTTGGCTCAGGCGGTGTTTAATTCATGAGCGAAGCCTCTGTTCCCGCCTGCTCGCTGCCTTTTTCCAGATCACTGGCGAGCAGAACAGCCCGTTCCCCCCAGGGAGCCCGCGGGGAACTCCCTGCATTGTCCAGCGCTGCCGCTCGCCCCGTTCCTGGCCCTTTCTCAGCCTGGGAGAGCACCAGGGATGGAGAGGATGGAGACGTCCCCCAGCCAGCAGGCTGCAGGTGGGGTCAAGGTCAGAGATGGGCATCCCACAAATGTCGGGCTAAGCCCCAAGGTCCAGCTCAAGATAATGCAGGTTGTCTTAAAGAAAAAAAGGAAAAGAAAAAGAGCTTCAGGGTAAATGCTGGAAAAGGAGTTTTGGTTGGTTTCCCTCAAGCATTTGGGCTTGTGAGCAACAGGGTGCTGCAGCCCTGTGGGGAAATAGCAGCTGCTGGACAGCCAGTTCGTTGCCCCCCACCAGGCTCTTCTGCAGCTGCAGTTTCTCCTGCAGCTTCATGTTCTGGGCTTGACGAGGCCCAGGACCACATCACTCCACAGCGAGCAGATCTGGGGGACTGCAGGAGAGTGACCATGCAACCAGCCCACAAATACCCAGCCGCAAATACACACAGACCTGCTCATGCACCAGCAAATATCAGGACTCAGCACTGAGACGAAGCCACTTTAAGCAGCTTCCCCAGGCCACCAGGTCTCCTGTCACACTAAGTGTGCTCATCCCGCAGCTCTCCACACACTTGCACCTTTGCATGCAAAGTTTCCATCCTCTGTGCAAGGGAATATGTGCAGATAAGCTGTTATCACCCCCTTCTCACCGGGCTGCCCCTTGGGACCCCCTCTCCGCAGGTTTGCATTCCTTAGGGCGCGTGCCTCAGCCTACCCCAGTATCCTAGAAACCCACATTTCTCCTTGGCGCCCGTCCATCGCCGCCGGCTCCCATCTGCTCCCGGAGTATCACGTAGCAGCAGGAACGCTCCTGTCCTCCCGTAACCTGGACTCGGGATGAGTGCCTGGGGCCGGCACCGGCACGTCCGCCCGGAGTCGGGAGCCGCATCTCCCTCTGGCGGCAACGGGGCCGGGAAACTCTCCGGAGAGGAACGCGTTCCCAGAGCAGCTTCTGCACCCTGCACGAAGCAAGCTGCAAAAACGATCGTTGGAGGCTACAAAATGTGGCCGTTGTGGGGCAGCCTGGTGGGGTGGAGATACCCAGGCACTTACAGCGACAGCACCACTAAATTAGCACAGCCAATTCCCATCGAAGCAAGCGTGGCACTTTGAGCAATGGAAATTTATTCCACCCCATGAAGTTCCCAGCACCTCCAGAGCTGTCTACTCCAAAGGGGGTTTTAGACTTACCTAGATACATGTCATTTCTATATATCTGTGGTTCCGAGCAGCACTCGAACCCCATCACTGGGTACCACAGGGCTCTCCTCCAGGCTGGAAATCTCTAACAGCAAATAAACTAGGTCTTGATTTCACATTATCCCCAGGAGAAGTGGATTTCTGAGCCTCATTTTTTAACTTTCTTAAACAGATAGGCCACTTTTTGTCTTTTTCATTGGCCAACAGCCCAGTTGCACAATGACTCTATCTGTTAGACCTTTCCCTTGTATGGTTAAACCATACCACTGCAGTTAGTGATACAGCCCTCCCAACAGCTTCCTGACCCTTATCAATTTTTGCAGTTACAGTCAGAAGAGACCAGTGGCTGCTTGGGACAATTCCTGTGAAATCCAGAAGCCCAAGTTAGTGCAAAGCCTGCAATCTGCTGTTAACAGCAGCTATATATGTACAGCTATCACTTATAAGCACAGCAAGGATGGTTCTGTGTCTGAAGGCTCCTGATCAGAACTGGAGAGCAGATCTTCTTGGGAGCATCTGCTATTCCTAGCTCATCTTGCCTTAGGATAACCTGCATAGGTCTGAGAGCAGCCCATATTTTGGCTGCTAAGAGAAAAAGAGAGCAATGCAAAGCCCTATGTTCATTCACCCTTGGGTCCTTTTTGTGCACATCCTCACATGGAGGAAGAAAAGCACACCTAGCTGACTAAACAAGAAGGCTGACCGAGGTTGGATATAATGATAAAATCTAAGAAAACAGGAAAATAGTGTTGCAAAAGTGCAGGTCAGGAAGCTATGCAGGGGCTTACTTGCAAAACTGCAAGAGAGGGAGGTCCAGCACCTCCCAAAGCAACGTGCAGAGAAGACTTCTGCATGCTTCTCATTTCAGCCCCAGACTCCAGACACAAGACACAGACACGGGAAAGGCTGGGTTGCTTTTGAAAGCAGCAGTTATGTATTATCGAGGTTTAAAAACAAACAGATTGAGTGAAAACACCCACTCTGCTGCCTTCTGTGTGAGGCAACAGGCGTGCGCGTAGCAAGAGCCTAAAGCGAGTCAGTGCAGTTTTTTCCTCACGAAATGCAGCTGTGCCCAAGTTGTAACGGAGATACAGTGCAGATTCTCAGTCACGCTGGAAAGCAGCATCAATCCCAAATCCCACCTGCCAATACATTTTTCAGCGCGCAGATCAGCTTGACGAAATGGGTCTGTTTGCGTCATTTCTGAGCAGTAAATGCTAAACAGCTTTTTTTTTTTTTTTTTTTTTTTTTTTTTTTTTTTTTTGAATGAACTAGAGACTTTTTTTTTTTTTCTATATTTTTCAGCCTGTTTTTTTTTTTTTTAAAATAATAATCCTTGGTATTCCTGTCTTTCTTCCCAGTATTTCCTGTCCCTGGGCATTGGAGGAGTGCAGCCCTCAGTGGGACGGCAGCGCTGCCAGCAGAACAGCTGCGAGACCCTGCCAGATGTGCATCATCTCGGACCCAAAACCTTACTCAACTCCAGGATTCTTTGTTAAAAAAAAAATCTAATAAGGAAATAGTCTAAAATTTGGATCAGAATAAATAGGCTGAGTATCTCTTTGCCCTGTTCAAATTTAAAACAATTACCACAAATCTCAGCCCATTTCTCTCAAGACCTATCTGATAGTCTGACCCAACCCAGCTGCTACTGATAGAGCACCCTTCTTCACCAAATTCCTGAGCCCAGGAGGTACCATCTGTCAGAGGATATTTATTTTACCTGTGATTAACTTTAGGAAGAGGGGCTGTGAACGAGCCAGCCTGAAACAAGCTTTTAAATAATTTGTTCTCCTGAGGTTGTAGTTTGCAGAGTAACGAGGGTCTGGGCTCCTATTTGGTCTCAGTGAATGGAGTGCTAAAGTTCTTGAGATGAACCAAGTGGGGCTTCATAAATCAAAAGCAGCTGAGTGTCACCTTAGGGCTTGTTCTGCCTGCAGAGAAGGGGCTTCTCCACCTGAGAGGAAACTCATGTGGCCTTTTTTTAGTCTTAGGCACTTATTTAACCTGAAAAGACTCTCACTTTGGCCACTCTCCCTGCCACCAAGGAGAAGCAGAGACAGCAGCCAGATCTCCATGCTGCAGACAGGCTGGTAGTTCCTACAAGGCACTTATTAAAGGACACGTTTCCAGTCATCATCACAAATACCTAAAAGGTTGAGTGCTCCAGCTGCCTAGCGAGATTGTTATATAAATAAGTTCAATAAATATCTAAATATAGACTTTAAGGTACCTATTCTAACCTCTCCAAAACTGAAAGGAGAGGGTGTGGCGGGACAAAAAGGAATTTTATGGGGATGCAGGTCCACACCTGCCTGGTGGCACGGGACAGTCTTCATGGCAGTGGCAGCGTCCTGCTCCCTCCTGCCGTACCTTGGTGCCAGTGACTCCAACGCCGATCCCGGGAGCAGGGATCTCCCCGCTCACTCCAGCGCCCCGGATTGGCCCCTCGGTCCGTGCTGGGCGCACTTGGGGTCAGCCTTGGGGGTAGATGTGAAGCGTGGCTCCTCAGGAACCCTCGCCCGAGAGCATGGGGTGCCCCGATGGCTATGCCACCCTGTGAGGATGTCCCCCAGCTCCGAGCCCTCCTCGGAGGAACCCGCTGCCCCGCTCTTGCTCGTGCCAAGGGGGGACGAGCTGCTCTGCAAGCAACCGGGCGCCCCCAGGCCCAAGATGGGGCTGATGTTCGGCATCCCAACGGGAAAGCCCTCTCCTTTTCCACCCGGGCAGTCTGCTGGAGACTGTGGTTTCCCATCTCCTTCCAGTGAGTCCTTCTCCGACTCCGCTCCGGGAGAGGCAATTCCTCCACTGTTTGCACTGAAGTAGAGAGATGAGCAATCACAAGCCTCCGATGAGTCCGGGCTCTTGGAAAAGGCTCCAGCAGGGTGAGGATCAGTCTCTTGCTGTGCTTCGTGCCACACAGCATTGCTGCCTCTCACAGCATCTTGCATTATGGGTCTGTGGACCTCTCCTGAAGTTCTTGTGGCACCAAAATTGTGTTTCCCGCTTTCTCTATTCCCTGCCTCTGGCAATTTCTCATCAGTCAGGTTGGATTCAAAATCCAGAGGACCCATCTCCATTGTCGGGAGGGTTAGGGTGGCCCCAAGCTCAGCCCTGGAGGGTTTGCCCAGCATCGGTCCCCCAGGGTAAATCTCTCCCACACCACCATCTCCAAAAGTTGCGTTGATCTTGGAGATGTCTCCTGTCTTCAAGGCCAGCTTTATCAGCAGCCAGTGGTGATGGCTTGTCCAGTCATCTTCGGTGAGATGGGACGACCCATCCTCGTTCCTGGAAGCCACCTGTGTCTTTTCCATCACCAAGGACTCGCCATCTCCGCCACTCGAAATTCCCAAGCTCTGCCCTGCTGGGCAACCAGCTCCATCATCACCAGGGGCTGTAACGCTGCAGGATTTCTCCAGGAAACCTTGCCAGATCTCTGTGGACTTGGGGTGGAGCAGGCTGTAATAAACCACCAGAGCTGCAGCACCTGGAAAAGAGCAGAAATGTATCAAGGGACCCTTTTGCCATCATTTTGGTCTGGTGGGCAAGAGAAGTGAGGTTGGGTCTCACTATCTTCTCCTGATCCATGAGCCCTTTTAGCAGTGATGCAGCTAGGCATTAGGTGTTTCAAAACGCAAACATTTAAATCAGTGCAAAAATCCCATGTGAGCAGCTTCCTGCAAAGGGAAAAAAAAACACGGGAATACAACATTTTGGCAGCAGAACACTCTCAAGACAAAATTTCCTAAAAATCCAGGTTGATTTACAGACTGATAGGTGCATGGAGAAGCAGCCACTGAGCACCAGTGTGGCATGGACATGTGTGGCCACAGAGCAGCAAGACGGTGAGTCTTGCTCAACATCTCTGATGCCTCTCAGCATCTCCACCCACTAGCTGCTAACGGGATGGATTTCATCCATGCTCACTTCTTATTCCCTTGGAAGGTGCTGCTCTTTCCTCCTGGGGAAAATTCACCAAAGATCAGAAAAAATGCTAAACCATTTGCTCAGATTTGCTCCGGGACACCAATTTCTCCAATGAAAATTTTGCAAAGAGAGATGCTAGTGAGGTTGTTTGCAAGTTGTACAACCTCTTTCCTGCTTCAGGTTGTGCATAGCAGCCATGGGACATTAAATGCACCATGGACACAGCTACCCTCTTTTAACAAACCTCCTTTTCCAGTGGTGGAATTTTAAGATATGATTTTAGGAACAGAAACTCAAGGGGGATTTATACATTATAAGATACATAAATATATATATAAATACAGCAACTTCAGCTGTAGGAAAGAAAGGAAATGTTCTGTTGCAACTAAAATTGTTGCACAATAAAACCAATGATGACAATTTGCTCGACTTGAAACAGACCATCCAAGGCTCTCCGCATCCCTCAGCTGGGCCCTGAAAAATCAGTAGCTCTCACCTATTAAAAACCCCGAGCTGATGGCCCCAGTGAGACACAGGCTGCTCCACAGCTCTGCCTGCAGGAACTCTGTGGCCAGCAGCAGCAAGAGGGTATTTTCCACCAGCATGACCTGCAGAGGAAGGAGAGAGCTTAGATGTGCTTCCCACGACACCCAACACCCCGTTTCCAGCCTCTGCCTGCTTAATTTGCACCACTATGGCAAGTTCCCTTTTGTTTCAGCCTTCTCTGCACTCAGGTGGAGTTTCTCTCAGCTTATCAGAAAAAAAGGAGAGTTTCCACAGTCTTTTTGTTTTGCTCCACAGACTCTACTGATATTCTGTGGATAGCAGCAGCATCAACCCAGGCCTGGGAGCAACTGCAGACACAAAAGTATGAAACAAAACTCCGCACTTCTCAGCGAAATAGAAATGAAGCCAGAGCAGAAACCAATTTCACTTTGTCGATGACACGGTTTGGGGGCAAGTGCTGGATCCTCCGCATGTGGCAAGGCTAGTGGTGAGGGAGCCTGAAGATATCTCAAGGGAGAAATCGCCAGGAAGAGACACTCAGTGTCAGACGTGCTTGTTGGGTAGCCTCTGGGTGAAGGTTTTCATGGACCTCCTGTTTGGATTGTGAATTGCTGCACTTAGAAACTCTTATTAGTGACCCTGAAGCCTTGGCTGATGAGGTCAAAAGAGAAGAGAATTTAACCAGCCTCCCAAGGTTTGGAACAAGTTGAGCTTTGGTTATCCTGTTGCCCCCATACAAAATCTGCAAATTCATGTAAAATACTGAATAGCCAGGGCACTTACCGCATAAAACACAGCCACTCTGAGCTTGGAGGGACCAGGCCGGACATTAATGTAGCAGAAAACATAGATGGCTCCCAGCAGGCAGTTGAAGAGCCTCCAGTGGCAGGGTGCTGTCACGATGTCCGTCTGCTGAGCCACCAGCCAGAAGGACACTACCAACCAGTGGATGCCTGAAATGGAAAGGCACAAGAAAGACCAAATCTGGTGAGCTGCAGGTGTTGCTGTGTGTTGTCATGCTGTAAAGTGCTCCATAAAGCAACTGGCACCTCCTTCATCGAAAGAGAAGGAAGGTCAGGTCTATGTGACAGATCTGTGGTGGCATCTCTAGCTGACAACACTCCAGGTGCCAGGCCCAGCTTTTCCTGGCTTTCAAGGAGATATACAGAGATCAAAAGAGCCCCCAGACATTGCGTGTGGGGTTGGGGAGGTGCAAACACAGCGGACAGGAGGTCCGTGCCAGGTACCCAAGCACCAGGAACATCTCCCTGGCTGAAAGCAGGACGCCACATATGAAACGTGAAAGCTGCTCTTACCAACCACGGCAAAGACCCAGTAGGAATACAGCCTGGCAAAGAGCACGAGGGACAGCACCCTGGTCCCAAGCATCCCCGTCCTCCACAGCAGCAGGCACAGCAGGGCCGTGGCCGGCAGGTAGAGGTGGCCCGGCTTGAGCAGGCACATGGAGCGGCTGTAGGAGACCAGAGCCCAGGCGAGGGAGAGGAGGGACAGCCCAGCGCTGACACCTGCAAAAGACATTGTGGCCTCCTGCTGAATGCTCCCCGGTCTCCATCAGGTTCTCACTCTGGCATTTTCCTGCCTAAATGTTATTTTAAGCAAGCAATGAGCTGAGATTCACAGTACGATTGCTGCTGGCATGTTCTTAGAGATTAAAGATGTGCAGGGAGGTCCCTGAGGATGTACTAGCTGCACAGTGATCCACGGCTGGAGAAACATATGGATAAATATGGTGTGACAGAGGGACCTGTTCTGCTGAAGTTACCACCAGCCATGTAGTGAGTTAGAAAAGACAAATGCTCTGATGCCCACCAGGCAAAGTTCCAGCAGTAACTCTGCAGGAATGTTCTGCCATGGGGGAACAAACATCTCCTGCCCAAACGTGCTACCTACACTCAAAAACAGTCTTCCTTTTCTCTCTCTGCTCGGAAATCCCCGACTTACCGGGGAAAAGGTCTGTGTGGTCCACAGCCACGAAGATGTATGCCTGCAGCAGCACGTGCGGCAGGCTCTGGAGCAGGGCTTCCAAGAGCCGCAGCACGGACGCGTCTCCTTGCTGCATGAGCAGCTCCCTGGTAATGCCATTGCCCCTTGCCTTTCTTGCCATCTGCAGAACATCCCAGTACCTGGAGGAGTTGGAAATGCCGTCAGTGCACAGCGGAGCAAGTCAAATTAGCAATCTCCTGGTCTGCATCCCAAGGCTCTGCTCCGACCTCTGCCTCCCAGCTGCACCTTCTCCATCCTGACGTCCCCATCTCCCTTCATCCCACCACCCACTCCTCTTCTCCAAAGGCTGCAGGGAATCAGGCGAGGCTAGAGACCCAAAGCATTGAATGAAGCACAAACTATAGTTCTGAGTTACCAGCTAAACATCACACCCCCAACAACAGGTTCAACGGGAATAAAAGCAAGATTATTCTCAGGGTCTTCTACTAAAATACAGCACACATACGCACACACTCAGTGCTTCTTCTAGCAACAGATGGAGGACGTCAGAGAGGATAAAACTATTCCCAGAATTCATATGGGGACATGGAAAAGGTCATGCAAAGCCATTTCAGATTGGGAGGAGGGGCCAACTGCCAGCCAGATGCTCAAATTAAAAATCTCACATCCTCCCAAATTCCTTGCTCACAACATCACTCTGCAGGGAGGGGGCTCAGGAATTCTCAGGAAATGCAAGAGAAATGCAAAGTATCTCCCCTGCAACACGAAGTCCAGCGCTGCTGATGGCCTCTCCATCCACATGTTACACAGAGCATTAAAATGCGGTTTATTCTCAAAAGACTGGACCACCAAGCTGGGCACATCCCTCACCGCTTCCAGACGCCCAGCTGCAGCGCGTGGAGCACCAGGAGGCAGCAGCGAGGCTGGTGCCCGTCGGCCCTGAACCAAAGGGCACTGAGGAGCTGGGCTGCGTAGCCGGGCACAAGGCAGGACACGGTGAGCCAGAACCAGACGTACTGCCCGGACAGCACATAGTGGATGATGGCGCAGAGACCTGGAGAAACGAAGAGGTGCAGCTGGAGGATGCCGTTGGTGAGCGCGCAATACCCAACAAAACCACCCAAATTGAGCAACCGGCGTTAACTGCACATCCACAGCGGAGCTGAGCCAAGACAGCGGGATGGAGAGGGAGAAACTCTCCTGCCTACAGCTCCAAGGACCCTTCTTCCCAAAACTGCCCCAATAACAGCGCTGGGGCGGTGCAAAAGCTGCTGAAAACAACCCGCTGTGGATGCACGGAGAGTTGCAGCACCCGGGTTTATCTCCAGCTTGCAGGCGGGGCCAGGCCTCCCCTGTGCACGAAAGGGCGCAAAATAAGAAGAGAAATAATAAACAGGCAGAGAAATGAACTATTAATTAAATAAAACGAAACACAAGCAAGCGCGCGTGGCCGCGCACTCACGCGCGCACCGCTCGGCCGCCAGCAGCGCCAGGCAGAGCCCCGGGAAGGAGCCGCGCATCCTGCGCGCCCCTCGTCGCCGGGGGGAGGAGGAAGAGGAGGAGGAAGGGGAGGGCGATGCCGGCCCGTGGGCGGGCGCCGGGGCCGGGCCGCTCCGCGCGGAGCCGGGTCGGGATGAGCAGCGACTCCCGGCGGCGCCGCCGCCTCCGCGGGCGCTCCGGGATGTCCTGCGCTTGGATTCATCCCCAGGGCCTCCAGGTTACCGTGCGCTCGCGGCAGCTCGTCCCCAAGCCTGCCGGGGTGTGCCTGTGCAGAGGCTCATCTCCAGATCTTCCCTGTGACTTATTTTCAGAAGTTTATCCCCAAACTTGCCACCTTATGCACTACCAGAAATGCATCTTCGAGCTTTCCATGTTTTGCACTTCCAGAAGTTCACCCCCAAACTTTCCACATTATGCTCATGTAGAACTTCACCTCCAAACCTTCCAYGTAATGCTTTTGCAGAAGTTCATCCCCAGGCCCTCCAGGTTCTATATTTGTAGAGGCTCATCTCCAGACCTTCCACTCCCAGAAGTTCATTCCCAAACTTTCCATGTTTTAAGCATTTGCAGAAGTTCATCTCCAAACTTTCCATATTATGCATTTCCATAAATTATTCCTCCCAAACCTTCCCAGTTTCTATGTGCTGGCAGAAGGCCCTGGAGCAAAGGAGAAGCTGGCATGCAGGAATTAGCCCATAAAACGTGATGTCCAAGCAAAGTTACAAGTAACTTCAGGTGTTGGCCTCCTTGCTGAAGATATGAAGCATTTGTGCAATGTGTTCGTGCCACTTGTGGTTGCAGGTGCCCTTGTGTGGATAGAGTTTTGCTGCAAACCTGTCTTACCTGCTTTTTAATCCTCAGCCCAGTGGTTTGTATCCCCATTTAACCAGCAATGAGAAACATGTGCATTTTAGAAAATAAATCATTTTCAAGTTGCTGCAAGAGAGACCAGTGAGGGCTGTTGAATTAAGTCCAAAAATCAGCTAATGTTTTATCCATGCAAATGAAACCCTAAATGAAGCTCAGCTGAGTTTCTTGTGGTTTATCTCTTGTGGAAGAATCACCTCCAGCAGGAATGCCAATCCGCCAGAAGTCACATATGCACTTCCAGAAAATGTGAGAAAGAAAATATGAGAAATTTCCCTAAAAGCAATGTGTATTTGAAGAGAAACTTGCCTTGTATTTGTTTATGTCTTCTACTGTTTTTACAGGGTATAGCCCCTGCCCTTTTCTGAAGATGGCTGACCAGGTTAGATAACCACTGGTCTGATAAGGGTGGCTGTTCTCTGTCCAAGAAATGGCATTTCCCCCAAAATGCCAGTAATGGTGGGTAGAACAGCACGCTTGGAAGTATAATCCACAGACCTGTATTTAATAAGATAAGCAGACATACATTCAGTTATGCAGCTCTGCTAAGACAAAGTTTTACTAAATCACATAGAAGACTTCCAAAGCTTGCAAGGCCCTCTTAGTTATCATATGTGTGTATGTCTGTGTGGGGGGATGTTTTTATGCTTTTCTAGTCTTTTTTTTTTTTTAATTTTAGAGTGTTTGTTTCTTTGCAATCCTTAAAGCAAAATGTGTGTTGTGTTGTTTATTGATTACGATTATGCCTACCCCCTCCACGTCCTGCACAGCTCTCCTCTTCTGTTTTAGCATGTGAGCAACAGACCCAATATGCTGTTTCTTCTCAGACACACGTACATGCCACTGAAAAAGGAACCAAGCTAGTGATTTGGTCCGACAAGCTGAGCTTGTCTCATTTCCCTTCCAGGAGAGAGGGCTGCCAGGTTTCTCCTTTGCCTTCAGTACTGATTTTTGCCAGGCAAGTAAGAAGTAACAGGTATTTTTGCTGCTTTGACTCTACTGTCAGGATTTAAGTGGCCAGTGGACTGAAAAATTGGTGTGCTAGGGAAAGGCTGACCATGAAATGTGAATAAATTCCACTTAACACAGTGTAGGTCTTGCCATGAGTTGTCCCAGTGACCTGACTGAAATAAAACTGGGGTAAGGCCTGGAAAACACCGCATGGCTCTGTTGTTCCTTGTGTTGCTCAATTGCATCCAGCACCGATGAGAGAGTCGGCTTTCCTGGGTTCACATCTAAACTTTTGGGGCTAACTTGAGCAAATGCATCAGTGAGGAAGCTGGCATGAGGTAGCATGAGCCTTTTTGTCGCCCACACAAGGGATGTGAATCTCATTGTCTTGCTCCCTCACCACCCATCACCATCTTTCCTAGGAGGAAGCCGTCCTAGGGAGCCCGTCCAGGTATTTTCTTAGCCTCAAAGTGCCTGCTGACAAATCCTGCCCCTCCTTCTGCCCTAGAGCTTTTGGAGTTTCCTAAATGCCACCTCACACTAGGCATGACGCTACATTCCCGAAGCAAGGCCAATGACCTTGCTTGGAGAAAACCGATCAGGACGCATTGGTCCTCCCTCGCAGAGGAGCAAGCATATGGGAGGCAGATAAAAGCCGTGATGAAGAGATTTCTCCTGGAAAGCAGAAGAAAGGCATTTGAGGATTTCATGGAAAGAAAAGGGCCATTAGATCATCTGCAGCACAGGCCAGAGACTGTTACTTGGTAGTCTGGGTCTAATAATCTCTGCTTGGCTAAAGCAAGCCTCGCACAAAACTATTCCCAGAGCTAAGCACCCTCCTGGCTTCACCGCCTACTCAATTGCTCTGGCTGACATCCAGTCCCTGTTTTGGCTGTGCATTCCTCCACTGGATTTCAGACACCTGGAGCCCACTGAAAAGCTGCTCAGGACCCAAGTAACGCTGCATACATGCATACATGGTGAAACTACCTCCTCTTCATATTTTCTTCAAATGCAGAGGTCCTCTGATTCCTCTCTGCAATGCTTCCTTCTCCAGCCTCAGGATATTTTTTTCTCTAGATTCTGCAGCTTCTCGTGTTTTAAAATGGGAACAGAAGGTCTTGGTGGGCTTGATCCTTAGATAGGCTGTCACCAACTCCATAGCTGATTTTGGGCGATCCTTTCTGCATCTTAATAGGCAATAAGTATCCCCTCTTATTTAGAAAATGAACCTTTGAAGACAAGGCTGTGTCCTGCCTTGAGGTTTAAGAGGGTTGAAGAGTTTAAGTTCTTGAAGTGAACTGGATCCCAGACACGTGGCCGTAGCTCCAGCTAGGTCAGCGATTGCTGAAATGTCTTCCTGCCCGTGTGATTCCTTGTCTGTCTGCCTGTTCTGTCTGTCTGTCTGTTGATTGATGTTTGGGATAAAGCCAAGGGAAGTAGGTGTATATGTTTTAAAAGGATAATCCCTCCTCTGTCCTAATAGGACAGAGTACCTATCCAAACAAGAATGCTTCTTTAATTAGAGGTTACATGCCCTGTAAATATGTTGTTTATATCCAAACAGGATTGCCAAATCCCTATAGGTCACATTCATCAAGGCCTTATATATACCGGCTCATTCCTGCTTCTCGTAGCATCTCTTGTCACAACAGCTTTTGGGTGACACTCTGCGATGTCAGCCAAAGCCATGAGGACGGTTTTCCTGCTGCTTGCTCTTCTCCTTGTCTCCTCATCTTCTCCGGTGCCTCAGACTGCTGCAGGTAAGTGTAAAAGCAATCAGGGCACCTCCAGGAATTTTTGCTGTTTGGGAAAGAAGAAAATGATACTGTAAATGGAAGCAAACTCAGTCTGTGGGGAGCTTGGTGTTCAGCTTGTCCATTTCAGTGCATGGGTGCTAAGGGGATAGAGCATCACAGCAGTGATGCTGCTCGGTAGGCTAGCTTGGGTGGATTGTCTATTGCTAACTTGGGGCCAGGGCTTCTTCACATGTAGAAGTCCAAAGATGCTCACAAGATGTTTTTCTTCCTGACAGTGTCGGACACTGTTCAGTGTCGGAAGATCGGGGGCGAATGTTCATACTTGTTATGTCCCATCTTTAAGAGAAGCGTTGGCACTTGCTATGGCCAAGCAGCCAAATGCTGCAGACCCTTCTGGTGAGCCTCCGTGACACCATCAGACCAGTGGCTGTGACAATGGTAGCGTAGCAGGGTCCCTCCTAACATGGGCACACCATCGCCTTGGCCGCTGTCTTTCTCCAGTGCTGGTGGAGGTCATTGTGTCCATGCTCTCTTCATCTGTGTTCACGTCTGGGAAGCCACCGTGCATCATCTCCACGTCCCCTGTCCCTCTGCTGTTGCCAAGTCTGGGTTGAGCCCAGGTTGAAACCTGGGAAAATTCTCTTTCCTCCATTGCCAAGGGGTGGCTTGTGGTGGGAATTAGGCAGAATTCCTCGTTGCATCAGGGAGAGAACATGACATGTCCCATGCAGTGCTAGAAGAGACCTTCCTCATCCTGGAGAACGCCCTAGCTCCTAAATTAAATACGGCTGTAGTCAGGGGCAGAGATGAGTCCCTGGTGACTGCAATGTTCCTGGATGTGTGTTGGAGAAAAATGTCCTTCCATGAGACCCCAATGGCCACAGTGACCACAGCAGCCAGCCAAAGGGTGGTTTCTAACCTCTCAGCTGGGAAGGGTTCCCTGTTATGGGGAACCCAACTGTTCCTTCATTTTGGTCAAGCCCCTCAGAGGGTTGGTACCAGTCAGGGCTGAGCACTGAAAGTCGCAGCCCCAAGAGATCCTCTTCCAGCTCCAGGATTTCGGCATTGCACTTTCCACCTGCCAGTGCCATGATGGAAGGGGTGGCATCTCATTGTTTTTTCCCCAAGAGTCTCTTCCCCACCATGTTCACACCTGCAGTTCTCACTTGCCTTCCACCCAGAGGACGGGGACCCAGCTCCTCTGTCCAGAGCTTCCTCCCATCTATGGCAGTGAGTTGTCTCAGGGAATGGGGAAGACAATGAGGAACATCTTCATTTATGTCTTTTACTTGCCCATCTCATCCATGCCTTTCCTGGAAGGATGGGTAAGTATAAAATGCAGCCCTAATTTTCCTGTCTTCACTGTAGGATCCCTTTTCTTTTCCATGAGTCTAGGTATTCCCCCATTTCCACTTCTCAGCATATCAGGATAAGGTCTATTA